ATCGGGGGGGAGGGTAGAGAAGGGAAGGGAAGGGAAGGGAGGGAACCCCTTGAACCTTCTTACCACCCTCACCCCCACCCCTCCGCTCCCTGAGTAGCCCCGTGTGGGTTCGTGGCACCTCCTGCGATAACCCCCAAAATCCAATCCGTACGTCTGTCTGTTCAGGTACGGCAGAACGTCAGCGGAAGAAGCCTGTAGAGGAGCCCCCACCGCCGCCCCCCAAGTACCCCCCCATGTGGGACGGAGCCAATATCGCGGTACTCGACGCGCTGCTGGCGGAGCTGGCCACCGTCGCGCCGGCGGCGGCGACGCCGCTGCTCGCACGTGCAGACGCCGCCAAGGCGCGCGCGCGCGTGCCGCCAAACGGCCGTCGGCTGCTTCGCCGCGCGATGCGGTCACTGGTATTGAAGATGGCGGACGCGGTGGAGGATAAGTTGGGGGTTGTGAGGGCGGATTTGGAGGCGAAGGCGGCGGCGGAGGCCGCCGCCGCCGCGGCGGCTGCTGCGGAGGATGCGGCGGAAGGACATGAGCTGATTGGCGGGGAGGGCAGTATGTTGTCGGTTGGTACGACAGCGACGGCGGCAGGCGGCGGGGGAGCACATGGGAAGAAGGAGAAGGGCGGGAAGGATAAGAAGGCCGGGAGCAAGGGCGGTGCGAAGGGAAGCGGCGGCGGCGCGCATGGCGGTGCGGTGGGCGAACATGGCGGCGGCGCCGCCGCGGCCGCCGCTGCTGCCGCGGCCGCCGTCGCGGCGGCTGCGGCCGCTGACCCGCTGTCCTTGCCAGGCTTCCATGACAAGGCTATGTCGGGCGCAAAGTCCGTTGTCAAGGTGAGTGGAGAGGTCCGTACGAATGACAGTACGGCGAAGTATACTAACGTGTAACGAGGAGTGTCCCATCTTACAGTGGGTGAATGTACGGAAGTACGGGCCCTAGGAGATAGGCCCACTGCATCAAACATTTCAGCCCTCTCGTACAACCGCACGCCTGCCTAATCCTTCTACCCACAGAACCCACCAACGCATATACACATATACATACACACATATATACACACATACATACACACATATACATACACACATATACATACACACATATACATACACACATATACATACACACATATCTACACACACGCGCGCAGGCCTCACTGAATTCCCTTTTGGAGGAGGTCCACCGCCACAAGGTCGCTGTGGGCGATGCTCTGGAAGCTTCCATTCGGGCCCTGGACCAACAAATCGCAACGGAACAAAACCGTCTGATGCTCGTACAACCACCACCACCACAACAACAACAACAACCACAATCCCAACAACAGCCTCAAGATGCAGGGAGCGGCCCCACCGCCACGGCTGCGGCGGCGGCTGCGGCGGCTGCAGCAGTGGGTGGGGTACGTGCCGATTGGTACGTCCCACCCGCGGGTGGTGTGCCGGCGCCTAATCCCGGCGCCCCGGCGGCTGTTCGGTCGGCCACCCTGGAGCAGCTGTACTGGGACCGACTGTGTGTGCTGAGGACCTGGACGGCGCTGGGGATACCCAACAGAGCGGATATTAGGTAGCGGAAGGGGGGAAGAAAGGGGAGAACAACGAACCACGAACGAGTGAAGCTGCTGGAGGAGAGGGGAGAAGGGGAGAGGGGAGATGGGGGAGTCGTTGGGTGTTTTGCTGGCTGAGTGGCTGGTTGGGTGGTTAGGTGGTTGGGTTATCTCATACAACAGTGTGTTCAGCTTGCAGATGTATATTTGAACGTGCCATTGAACGATGCCAGTGCTGCTGGGCGGATGGATGGATGGATGGATGGATGGATGGATGGATGTGGAGAGGCCGGGAGCGGGTGGAGGACGGCGGAGGAGCGGGGCGACATACAGACATGCACACCTACTACATGCGTACATGTGTACAGCCCGGCTCATTGACCGCCGGTATCCCGCCAGCCAGAGATACAGACATACATCCCCCCACTACCTCACAAGAGCCCGTCGCCACAATAATAACAGGGCATGGGCTACTCGACGAGCCACAGAAAGTGGCGAAAGTTGCATATTAGTCGCTAATTTAACGGATAAATCTTTTTAAGTCTGGTGGGGGCCCCTCCACCCCATCGCCAACCTAACCTCCACATTAGGGGTTGGGTAACAGACTCAATGGAGGGCACCATAGCTGCTCTGGATTCCGCACTGAGAGGCAGAAATAGACTAGCCGCCTGTGCGCCGGGATTTTAGCTCAGAGAGCGACCATGGCACTAAAACGCCCATTCCACTTACGAAGGGATTGAGCTAATGGGCCCCGTGGCTGGAGGTATTACTCCACTGGCTGATGCCAAGCCCGGAACATTGCTCTAGCCCTGCCTGGTCTGGTGCGTGCATGGCCACATCTAGAGCATCCCCCGCGCAAGAAGAACATCCTCCAACGTTTGCAGTGCCTTGCAGCCCAGGAGTGTGCTTGGTGTCGAAACTCCAGCCCCTGGGCGGATGTTAACTGACGGGACAGTCAAAATCTCTTTTCCGGAAGAACAGGGTTTCCTCGAGAGGCAAATTCCAACACCACGCATTAGGAACTAACGGATGAACGTCAACATCTTCAACTGGGGGAAGATATGCCAGCGCAGCTGAGGTAGAACGATTACCCCAAACCAAGGCACCCCGCCTGGGACGTGAACAGACACATGAGATTGTACGTCGGGTAAAGGGCATGCAGGAAAGAGAGTGCATGACCAAGGCCTAAGGCCGTCGCGTTAAAACTGGCTGGATTGCGCTTGAACATGCTCTCGAACGGCTAATGCCCCCAAACCCCCGAAGAAATTCGAAGGTGATGATAAATGCATGTAAATTTGAAAGTTCCACTTCCCGTACACCTTCCAAATTGACGTAGCAAAAGCCCCCAAAGCAAAATTTACGAAGCAAAAGAGTCCCAAAAGTTGAACAACTCACAAGTAAATCAGGTAATACTTATACGACTGTCCAGGCATTGTCATTATGTGCTACAAACTTCTTTGCAAGCGATTACCTTGATTACCGCAGGGGGGCGCTTCATTACTTTGTCTTACTTTGCTGCGATCGATGCGCGCGGAGAGCCCGCAGCCAAGAGGTAGCACATAACTGAGTGTGAAGCGTTTTGTTATAGAAACAGCGCTGATGCGCAGATCTCGAAAACTGAAAAAGAATCGTAGAAATAAAACCATTGTGCTGAAATGCGCGGCTCGAGCGAGGCAGGGAAACATTAAATCCAAGCTGGCGGGCACAGGCGAGCGCTGTTCGATTCCTATCGCCAGCATGCGCCAATTTAGGACACACATCGATGCGGACACTCAGCCCTGGCGGCAACAAAGCGCAGAAACGAGCTTTCCATCCATTTATAGACTGTAAGAATATAGGTATTTTTTGCGAAGAAAAACTTTGACTTGAGAGAGGCTGAAGTGCAGGGTATGCTACAGCAGTAGCGGCGACGATGCAGAAAGGCCTTACGACACAAAAGGCCCGGAGCCAATTGAACCAACCAAAGTCGTTGCTTTTTGCCTGTGGAAGACTCGGTCTGGCAAGAGACAATAATTCGCCAATAATAGTCGACGGCGGTAGCCATCTGCCGCACAGATAATACTGCTGCAGCTGCAGCTGCTATCCAATCATTTATGCCATGGAACCGCTGCTGGGAGCTCATGCATTAGCTGCTGGCGGTTGGCATGGGAGGCAGCGGCGGAGGAAAGCCCTGGAAGCTCTAGTTACTATAAATGCAGCTGCAGCTGTGCCTTGGTTACGCGCTCGGCATTTGTGGAGCTTTCTGCTGCTGGCTCTTCAAGCTGCTGTTCCTGGGACGTTGGCCCAACAACAGTATGGTAAGAAAGATATCATTGCCATTATGTTAATTAGCAATGTCTATCACGTACGAGCATGAAGCGCCGGTCATGGCAGCGCGGCCTCGGGGGAAATTTAAAAAATTAAGAAAATGGACATGGCGTCGATGAGCAGCTGGACGCACTCGATCCGCTCGATCGGCGGATTATTCTCGGCGATGCATGAAGTGAAGTCATTACCCATGCCCTGAAACTTTACCCAAAGCATTCAATTCAAGCTGTCTTTTTTAACAACGGCCTTTCATCAGCCCATGGCGAGGCGATGGTGTGCGTGGACCAAGGTTGACTTCCTGCCCTACCAATTTGCCGATCGTTCGTGCAAGCAGGTATCCACCGGCTGCAGCCGCAGCAATAGTAGTAGCACGTTCCTGCCACGTCGCATCATTCCAAATCCAAATGAAATGTATGACATGAAAACGATGCACAAAACAATAATGCGAATTGATAAGAAAACATGGATACATGCATGGCTGGATGCGAGCGTGCGGCGGCCAAGATTAGGGCGTGTTCAGTGCAAGCGTTTCTGGCTGGCTCGGGTCTGATTTGAGCAAATGGGACTACGAACTAACGGGGCGAGTTAGACCCCGAAGCGAAAAAGTAAAGTCCGGCGAGGGGTCCTCGTGCCTGGTTTGGCCTGATTCTTCCTACAGATAACCAAAGCGTTTCGAAAATCCGTTTTTATTTATCACTTTATGGAAACAGCTTGTTTTTTTGCGGCCGACAATTTATAGCAGATAGAAAGCGCGTCTGACCGGTCTGACTGTACTTCTTCGGTAAATGGTTGAGGCCATGCATATGCAATTCATAGAATATTTTTTCAGTCACATCAATGAAACTTATATAATGCATTGATTCAAATTATTGGCCGCCTGCCTTTCGTAAATATCGAGAACGATTATTGCGCATCGGCTGTGCGGCAAATCGATTTTGAGCTAATACGATCCCGCGATTAAAGATGGATTCAGGTACTTTGCATCTAGCAACGGCGCGTAAAAACCAAAAAACTGGGTTATTATGCAATGAATCTTTAGAAATTGTACTTCCGCAGGTCGAGACAATCTTTTAGGGGGTTTAACCCTGACTTTTAATCAAGTGGAAACACCACCTTAGTGTTTTAGACCCTGAGCGCTACCGCTTATGTCAAAGGTCCCAACATGGACATACATATCGGATTTTACGGGAGTTTCCCGCAGTTTTGTCGAGGCTGTAGTGGGTATCACAGCGGGTTTCACAACCCCACATTGACACACGGCACAAAGAAGTTTAGGTGTCGTGCAGCAGGGTGTGCCCTCCCCGCCGGTGTTGGCGCGACAGCGTGAAATCGTAGAATTGTCCTAAATCGAACATCCAATCTAGGCTGATGAATTAGGCTACGTTGGGGAACATACGCTTACTGAAGTTCGACGGATATAAAGTAATAATAATCATCATTATTCCCTTCCATGTACAATCATGCAGCCCGTCCGCCGCAGAGGTACTCTTGCGGGCGGGCCATAAATAATATGTATTTACAAGCCAGTTACACGCCCTGCAAAACTGCGGGGTGCTTCCGTGGATGCCGGGAGGCCGTGATGAACAGTGCATTTTTCGTTGTCATGGATGCCGTCGTGAATGTCGTCGCTGTCTATATCCAACTCGATGCTCCTGAGCCCGCGATGTGCCCGCTGGTCTCCCAGGCCTCCCCGAAAACACCCTTGCGGGACCAAGGGAAGGAAATGAACTAGCCACCGCACAGTTACTACGTACTCAATGCGATCGGTCTTGCACATGGCCACCGCTGTGGTCGCCACCACGCACGCATTTACCTCTTACTGCTGCTGCTGCTATTGCTGCTGCTGCATATGACTAAAAGGTGATTTAAAGGGTGTCGCTTTCTCGTTAAAGCTTATAAGCAGCACCCCCGATTGCTTCTTGCCCCATGTGTGCCACCGCATACACCCTCAGGCTGCCTCCCCTTCCAAGGCTACGTCTGGACCCTCAACTACGATCACTACGGCGACGACATCGGTCAGGCCTCAAGTCTTGAAGCTGCGGCTGCCGCATGCAGCGCCTTGCCAGATTGCCTGGGCTTTAACATTTTGGGATATTTCAAGAGCCAACATCATCCTATGACGTTATCTTCACGTCCCTATTTCTGCTTCTACACCAAAATTACAAGTGCGTGCGTGAAGCTAGTAGCTGCTGCCAGTGGTGTATTTCTTATAAGGAATACCTGTTGGGTGCCGCTCATTTAGGTGGGAGCTTCGTTGGGTACGTATCCATCTGCAGGAGCTTATTACGTTGTTTTATCACGACCTCGGAAAAGTACACCGATCGGCGGATGCAGATCCCGTGCTGATGCACGTTCTACAGGATACGACACCCGCAATGGTTCACCATTCCTTTATCCATTCCTTTTTTTCCTTCCTGCTCTTTTCGCAGGTGTCTATGTTACCAACTACTTGTGTGGCACCGACAACATATTTTACAAGACAGCGTCGGATGTTAGCATGGCACTGATATATCCCCTCCAGGCTATCTCAGGCCATGTGGGCAGCATATTTGACTTTGCCAAGTCCAGCTTCGGTTGCGGCTTGTCTGATGGACCGCTGCATGGCGGCTACTCAGCAAGGCCGACATTCACATTGGACTTTCGACAGCAACTCTCGAATTATTCCATGCGTATCACCCGCGTCAGCGCCTGCTGTGCGGGTCAATATGCCTACAACAACGGTGTTCAGGGCATCCGGATGCGAACAGCCGGTGGCGTTGAGGTTTACTCGGGCGGAGAATGCACAAATCCTCAACCCTGGGTCAACATCCCGACGGGATATGTCTTGTCGGGGCTGAGGACGAACTCGCCTGCGGATGGCAGCAGGCAATGGGTGCATCGCGTGGCATTTGTTGCAAACCGTAAGTCATTATTACGAATGGACACGTAGCTGTCGTACAGTACGGCACACATCGTGAATACCCATCTGCGTGTTACTAACACAGCTCCTGTATGTATGTATGTAGTAGTGGCTGGTCGCTCGCTGAAAAGGCCTCTTGAGGGGCTGCTGCTTGCAGAGCGCCTTATTACCGCGTATTTTTAGCTAGGTAATGTGTGTGCCGTACTGTACGACAGATGGTACAGCTGACCATTGATGCTCGATAGGTATTTGGGGACTACGTATGCATACATGTGAGATGTGAGATGTGGGGAGTCGGTGAGATTTATCTCACCGATGCCTATATCGGCGCATGCAAGCCCATTCAGCAAGCGGCTAGCAGGCAGGGGGAGAGATGCTTATCTCTATCAGAATTGCGTTGTGTTCTGGCAGCATGCTGTGCGGAGATGCACAACTTTGGCCATGCATGCCTGCAGATCATGTACATCTATACATATATATGTGTGTGGTTGTTACAGTGGGCTCCAGACTCCCGAAGAGTAGAGCCATCGGGCCAGCTGGCCGTGCACTGCAGTAGAGACTAATATACCAAAAGATTATCATCTCAGATAATTAACCTCTCATCGGTAACCGCTCTCGCGAACAAATCAATTTGCCAGATATAATCCTCAAAAAGGGGTGATGTGCGCCAACGGATTCCCAACCTTTTCGTGGAATTCCTAAAGCTGCGAAACCCTGAATGCGGCCCCAAAAATCAACAATAACTCGACAAATTGCTTCTTCCGTAAGGGAAGGACCAGGTAACAGTGCCGGGTTGGTTTTCATGTTTGCAGCCATATAACGTCTCCCATGCTCCATGGCTGACACCGCAGCAAGAGCCACAACATCCCAAACACATTGTTGCACTGATTGTGGGGCTTGGATAAGCCAAAGTTGCTCCCTTGAGACTGGCAATCCTATTGAAAGAGTAAGTTGGTCTGCTATTGCCTGTGCCACCGGACAGGCCCAGAAATGATGATAGCGAGGGGATACACCTCCCACTGAACCTATTGGATAACCTCCACAACCACATATCGTTGGGCGCGACATCCTAAGATGGGAATTTCCTAACATAGGCACCCCATCAACCGCAAGACGCCACCAAATCTCTTTTTGTTCATTTTCCCACCGTAAATGAAACCATAAACGATGGAATGTCCGTTGCAAAAGAAAAATAGCTTCATCCAATATCTCAGAAGAACCCGTCGCCTCT